AGCCCGAGGCAGAGTTGCTCTGCCCCGGGCTTCCTGGAATCAGCTGCTGATCAGTTTCAGCAGCAGCTGACTTGGGGACGCCTGGGTTTCTTAAGTTTAATCTGTATGTAAGTCAGAACTGGTGTCCAGATTCAGCCACTGTTGAAACTGATCAGTTTCAGCAGCGGCTGAATCTGGATGCCAGTTCCGACTTACATACAAGCCCGAGGCAGAGTTGCTCTGCCCCGGGCTTCCTGGAATCAGCTGCTGATCAGTTTCAGCAGCAGCTGACTTGGGGACGCCTGGGTTTCTTAAGTTTAATCTGTATGTAAGTCAGAACTGGTGTCCAGATTCAGCCACTGTTGAAACTGATCAGTTTCAGCAGCGGCTGAATCTGGATGCCAGTTCCGACTTACATACAGATTCAACTTAAGAACAAACCTACAGTCCCTATCTTGTACGTAACCCGGGGACTGCCTGTACAACGCTCACTGAATGACATTTTATGCAAGCCCTGAATGATATTTTATGCAAGCAATGTAGCTGGGTGGATCTAATTTTTGAGGTGAGGACCAAGCCTTTGAGACAATAGCCTAACTCTGGAAATGAGATTGAAAATTGTTTTATTTTGTTTTTTACATTCTTCTTTGAGTAATGGGAGTGCCTAACGACTCTCATAACAGATCAGGGCTCTATTGTGCGAGGCACTATACAGATACATAATGAAAAGACAGACGTTCCCCCACAGAGCTTATAATTCAAATATATGAGGAAAATGAGAAGGTGGACACAAGAAACTGAGGGTAAAGGAGCCTAAACAGGATAATGATTACTGTGAGAATGGCAGTCACAGCTGTTACAATGATTTGAGTAAAAATAAGAGTATACTTTTAGATTATTTTAGGTCTTAACTCTAAATTGTTCTACTTTTCTGGGTTTAAATCAGACTCCTAGCCTTAAGATAAACTTGTAACTCTATGTGCAGAATTACTGAATGGTCATTAGCAGTTGCTTTCTGCCTGCATTATCATACTGGTCAAATGGCATATGTATCATGATAGATATGAGGCTGGATGCTCCTCTCACCAGTTTTACACCTGTGACCTCCACTGAAGTCAAGAGAGTTACACCAGAGTAACACTGATGTCAGATACAAAACAGTCAAAGAAAATACTAAAGCATGTCAGCAAAAAGTGTGTTTTGGGGCCAGTGTCTGAGGCAGAATGTGTCTGCATATAAATAAACCAGGTTAGGATACTCAAGATTTTTTTTCTCTTCATTGCTTTTTGACAGGCTATACACAAACAAATGTTGGAGAAGCCCTTGCTGCTGTGCACGGTTCTGAGTTCAGTCAAACAACAATTTGCCGATTTGAAAATTTACAGCTGAGCTTCAAAAATGCCTGCAAACTGAAATTGATATTATCCAAATGGCTGGAAGAAGCAGAACAAATAGGAGGTAAATATTTATAATGCCTCTGGAATTTAATCTGACTGCTACAAGAATCTCTTTAATATAAAGGGTGACAAGCAATATATAAGTGCCACTAATCCAGTTTTTTGTTTAGTTAGGTGGGGAAGTTGATTGTAAATATTGTATGATAAGTACTTGCATTCACTGCATTAGGAGTGATGCCTATGGAGGGAAGCAAACCTGCCAAAAACATGTGGCAGGCACAAAGAGATGTGACTGTCTTATATGTCTCTCATTTCGCTCAAGACCATTGACACAAATTAGCTCAGATCTTGAGAGGTAGGGCAGCTCCTTTTTGATACACTGCCATTGAATCCTAGTCCAAAAGACAACATAGATGGCTGTGAAAGGATTACTGATATAAAGGAGATTTTCCAATGTGGAGTGCTGATGTTGACATACTCTTATGACAACTTGCTCCCTACTATTAGTGGCAATGGAAAAAGAGATGTGACGAGCCAACACAACACCTCCTGTAACAGTGGTAGGGAGGGTGATATCATGGGGATTTTGACATCTGCTCTTTGCCATTGGAGGGTCTCCTTTACTATGCCCTGCATACCTCCAGTTGCTGGATGAGCCTCTGGGACTCTATGGCAGAGGCATGAGTTATGACATGATTTACAATAGGTAAGCTGCTGTAAATTATATTGGAAGATCTGCCCGGCACATGATGAGGAGAGAGAAAAGCACCTGGCAGTGTGCGGTCCTTGCCTTAATCAACAATCTAAGCTACCATGTAGCTGAAGTTCTGCAAAGCAACAAATGTTATACTGGGGGTTAGAAGCAGGGTTTGGTCCTGCTTTTGGCAGAGGATTGGACTCAATGACCTCCTGAGGTCTTTTCCAACTTTGTGTGTCTATTAAAGCAGATCCAAAGCTTCTCTTACTGCATTACTCTCCTAAAAAACAAACCATTTGAACATATGACTCTCTCATAAAATAGCAGACCCCCTTCCTGATGAGGATTCTACTCAGTTTTGACAGAATTTCTCATCCAGGCCCCAAGATGTCTGGTCCCTTCTAATCTCAACACCAAGCTTCTCCTTTCAAAGGCATGTAATATGTTCTGAAATGCCACTGAGAGAGGACCTAGTACAACTATATTGGATTAAATCAGATGATGTATATTCTATCATTGTCAAAATGACTTTACTGATCATTAAGAGACGAGAAATGATGTGTAAGTTAAAAGATACTTCCATTGTGATAGTAATTTTTACCAATGCTATTTAATCCCTACATTTTTATCTATTCGGTGAAACTCCAGCTTTTCCTGCTCCAAACCATAAACGTGCCACAGATGATTGCCATAAGAATGATTTTCAAAAGATACTGAGCAGCAAGCACCTGCTGTTTTCACTGATTTTTGGTTGGAATCATGGGATGATCAGCATGACTTAAAATCGGACCTCAGCTCTTTGCATAGATATTCTAACTTCTAGCCAGATGTCTTTTACAACTAGATGTCTAGCAATTCCTACTATGTCTGAAACATTTGATAAGTACTTATAGAATTATAGAAATGAAAGAGACCTGGAGAGGTCATCGAGTCCAGTCCCCTATCTTGAGGCAGAACAAGGTAAACCTAGACCATTTCTGACTGTTGTTTGTTCTTAAAAAGCCTCCAGTGATGGGTTCTTAACAACCTCACTTAGAAGCATATTCTAGAATTTAACTAATTTCATACTTAGTTAATATCTATCCTAAATCTTGCAGCAGGGTAAGCCCGTTACTTCTTCCAGTAAAGGGAGGACAAAACAGCTGCCCACCATACTTTTTATAACAACTTTTAACATTTCTGAAGACTGTTATCCAGTCCCTTCTCCTACCCTGTATTATTTTCTCAAGACTAAACATGCCCAGTCCTTTTCCTCATAGGTCAGGATTTTTTAAACCTTTTCTCATTTTTGTTGCTTTCCTCTGGACTCTCTCCAATTTGTCCACATTTCCTAAAATGTGGTGCCCAGAAATAGACACAGTACTCCATCTGAGGGCTTGTTAGTGCCAAATAGAGTGAGACAATGACCTCCCATGTCTTATAAAGAGCACTCTTACTAATATGTCACAGATTGAAGTTTGCCTTTTTTTTCAACTCAATTATATTGTTGACTCACATTCAATTTGGGATCCACTATAATCCCCAGATCTTTTTCTGCAGTACTGCTTAGATGGCTACTCCTCATTTTGTAGTTCCACATTTGTACTGTAATCCTTTGTACTCATCTTTATTGAATTTCATCTTCTTTTCAGACCAATTCACTAATTTGTCAAGATTGTTTGGCACTCGAACCATGAAAATATGGAAAAGTACCAGACCCAAGACTGACACTGTGGAACCCCTTTATATAATGTGCACCCCGTTTGATAGCAAGCCATGGGTAACTCACTCTTTGAGTATGGTTTTGCAACTAATTGTGCATCCACCTTCCTGTCAGGGTGATTAAGCACTGGAATATATTGCCTTAGGGAAGTCGTGGAATCTCCATCATGGGAGATTTTTAAGAGCAGGTTAAACACTTGTCAAGGATGGTCTTGGTCCTGCCATGGTGCAGGAGACTTAACTTGATGACTCTAGAGATTCCTTCCAATTCTATGATTTTTTAAAAATAATTTAACTTATGTACTAATAGATTCATTCTTCCTGTTTATTCTCTATACTGCCTCCATTTGTGAATAGGCATATCGTATATTGTGCATATTCCTCCATTAATTTCTTGTTGTGTTTGTTACCCTAGTATAATTTTCCATGTCCTACACAGCACCTAGATTGTTTATGCTTAATTGTGAGCATTTGGCATCTACCCCCTCTAACTCTAGTTTAAAGCCCTCACTATGTTGATGAATGAGTACACAAAGATGCTCTGGCCCTAGTTGGTCAGGTGGACTCCTATCTCTTCCCAGCAATCCTCCTTCCTGGAACTGCATGCCATAATTGAGAAATTCAATGATTTAATCTCAGATGCACCCAAAATCAGCCCGTGTGTGAGCTCAACCTGCATTCATGAGCCAACAATGGCTGCTTGGAACATGTTCATAATGGGTCCATGTTCTTTTGCCCTGTGGTTGATATCCAGGCCAACAGACTAGGTGTTCCGCCAGTGCATTTTGAAAATGAACTTCATCTCTTGGAACAAATCATGTCCAATATTTCCCAACATGAGCACTAAACCCACTGGCATAAAACTGCAAAAAAAAAAAAAAAATCAAAACAACAATCTGATAAACCATGCTTGTGATTAAGCCCTGGAAAACATTGCTTGGGGTTGGACCAGAAACTATTTTATGTACAGACTGATTCTGACACACTCAAAAAATGAATTTGCCATGAACCAGCATAGGTTCTCTCAGCTTTATTCACAGCGTAAATCTTTTCCTATGCCTGAAGAGTGCAGTTACAGTATGCAACCACCAGATGTCCTAGAGAGAAATGTTTCAAAGCAAACCATTCAGCAACCATGTCTGGCATGCACTCCTGGTATTCAAACGCAAGCTGGTAACAATAGCTTCTAGAAATTATTGTATTTGTTTTTTAACGGTATTGAAGGTAATACCTCCTTTTTTAATATAGCTTTATACAACGAAAAAGTTGGAGTGAATGAACGGAAAAGAAAGCGCAGAACCACCATAAGGTAATAAAATACTTCATAAAATTATGCATTAGAAGTCCTTTTTTTCAGATCACTGTTAGGTTTGAAATCTATGTAATACGACTTACAGGCACTATCTAGGACTGGTTGAAAAGTAAAATTTGGATAAACAGGGACACATTTTGTGTGACATTTTTCACAGAAAATGTCATTCCATTTATCAACCAACTAAGGAGTTGCACCAAAAGCTTCAAAATTTTATTTTTTTCAACCTTTTCCTTGTAAAAAACATACCCATTAATGACCTCTGGTAGTCCCAACCTTTATGATGTCAAAGTCAGTAAAAAGCTTCTGTACCCCTCTTAGCCCCAACACAGCCTCTCAACTTCCTTTGTGGAAAGTTCAATGATTTAGGATAAATTGCCCTACTTTTGCTATAACTTGTGGTAGTTAGCTCTCATGAAATGGGGGAAGGGTTTACTGCCAAGATCATCTGTCCCTGCCCTCGGCCAGGGATCTGGGTCCTGCGGAGCTTCTGCAGTGGGGCTTTCACAGGCTGTAAGGAAAGAAGGAAGGGGCAGCGTTGCCAACTCCACATAGAAAGAAGTTGTCAGAGAAATCCTGAGAAATCACATGTTGCTATTTAAGCATTCAAAAGACGTAACAAATGTCACTAAACAAAACATCCACAGAATTCAACAGAGAATTTACACACACACAATGATAGATTTGCATTGAACATAATACTGAAATAACACATTATTGAATTTCTATATACACTAATCACAGAAAACGATTTGACTAAGTCACATTTCAATTGGTATTTGTCATAGAGTTTTGAAGTGTATTCCAGGAGTCCTTGGGATGAGAGACTGTGAAAAGAGGAAAGGGTTTGACTAGAGCTCCTCCTTGCAGAAAAGCTTTCTCTGAGTTTTTGCACTTACTGGAGGTTCTTCAAGAGGTGTTGTCCCTATCTGGATTCTAAATGTGGGTGCGCATGTGTGCCTTGCACCGAAGCTGGAACTGTACATAGTTGTATCCATTGACCAGCATGTGGGTCATGCCTCAACCGTGTGGCATGTCCAGGACTTTAAAAAGCTATATGGATCAGTGCTGTTCCCTCCTACCACTAAGCAATGGGACTTGGACTGGAGGGAACAGTGGGTGGGTGTTGGAATCCAGATGAGGACTAAAGATTTTGAAGAACTTCTTGTTACAGTAAATAACTGTCTCTTCTTCAAATCAAGGTCTCTATGTGGAATCCAAGTATGGGAGATTTGACAGCAGTATTCCGTGCAGAATTGGGAATGAGGGTTCACCATAAGTTACAATCTGAAGGACAGCTCAGCTGACTGCTGCATCTGCCCTGCGGCAGGGGTGTGGGCATAGCAGACAGTAAAGTATTGACAGAAGACCCAGTGGTCTCTCAACAAATGTACTGACATTGGCCTTCTCTGAGGATGTTCTATGTGATGATGGCTCAAGCATGCAAGGAGTGGGCTATGACCCCTGCTGGATGTGAGGAGGAGTGAGAGAGAGCAAAGCAGTCCATGATACAGAAAGATCCAGGGCAGAGACATTGTGAAAAGAGGGTACGGTTCTAGCTGTGTTCTGTAATGGTGAGGAAGAGGCAAGGCAAAGTGCAGAAGGTGCAGGGGTGGTGCAGATAAAAGGCAAGTGCTTGGTGAACTTTGAGAGAGTGCAATGTGTGTTTCCTCGAGGAAGCATGTGGTTAGGTTAGAATGTGGGGACAGTCTCTTGAAGCCGACTTCCTTTGATTTTGTGCCTTTCATGGCCGAGATCTGTGGGGGTTAGCCGCCTCCTGCTGTGAAAGTAGAGTGGACACAGGCCCTCTTAACACAGTTCATTTACAAAAGTATTTACAGATATAAATAAGCAAACCAGATGGGATGTAGATACATCAATAAAAATATGTATTTCAATTATCGAATAAAGCCTTTTCCGAAAGATCCGCGTCTAGACTGGCGCTTTTTTCCGGCAAAGCTCCGTGCCAAAAAAAAAGCGGCAGCCATTTTTATGCTAATGAAGCGGGGGAGATTTAAATCCCCGCTTCATTGGCAATTGCGATACGTCTAATTTGCATCCCTTTTACAAAAAAGGGATGCAATCTAGATGTAGCCGATGAGAATTGTGGTGACCCACCTCCCCCACCTAGATCATTCCAAACTATTACCATGTGGAATACACCCAGAAATTGCTACAGTGAACAGATCTGTCCTAATACCTGTAATGTAATGTATACAGTCCCAGTGTCATTGCCATGAGTAGTCAACTTTACAGCCTGGGGTGGGGGGAGTGGGCTGCACAAAATTTTGTTAAAACTAGCATGATTCTAGATTTCTAGCTTAGGGGGAGAGAGACCATCTGGCATAATCATCAGAAATGAGTGGTATTCAGTGTTCGCCATCAAAGACTCTTTTTCTAAATATTGAAGAGACCATCGTTTTGGAGATAGCATCTCATAATTGGATTATGTGACATGCTGCTGCTTCGCTCTCACATTCCTAATACATCAATGTAATGTTGGCATCAATGAAACACTTACACACTAGATGGGTTTTGTACACATGCACACACGGTACAAGGAAAGTGTGGGGCATTCTGTGGATACAGCAAGAAAATCTTCTCTGATCCCGAAGAGATCTTGTGACCCCAGTTTGGAAATCTCTTTAAAAATGTGCTGAAAGAGAACAGTACCTTATCTGCACTTCACTCTCATTGAAGACAATGAGAATTGTTAAGTAGGTTTACTGTGGACAAAATGGAAGCTGGAGATGGAAAATGGTATGTAAGTTAGCCTACTCAAGTACAGGAGCTTTGTATAACTAGGGCAAACCATCCATAATGTGGATGTGGGATATATTTTATTTTCAACTGTTTGACCAACTGAAAACTTTATTTCCATATACTGATTGTCAGCCGTGCACCAGTAGAACACTCACCATTCAGCTGACTAGTATCAGTTATCAACATGCATTACTAATGAAATTACACTAAGATCATTCTAACGTTATGTGCAGAGTTGTTCACGAATTCTAGAATTTCTGCTGAAGTGGCTTGAACATCATAGAAATAAATATGCTTCATATTTAGACTAAAGCTTACAGTGACCCCTTATGGCCAAAAAATGGTACAGCTACTGCTAAATTAGATGAGAGAAAAAGAAGCATTTCATCCTAATTGCTTTTGTACCTTTCTGGCACACTCATTCTTTTGGGGTAATAAACAGCTTAAAAAAAATGACACACAAATTTCACCTATATTCAGCCTTTCTGCCTGAATAGGGGAATAAAATAGCATTTTTAACTTTTATGTGCCTATACCAGCTCAACCAATGCTTGTCTTCGGGTTCTACGGCTTTGCAAATAGGTTAAAACTGATTTTTTGAAAGAATGTGATTGATGGAATAAGTTGCCATGTGCTATATAAAATGTACATGAACATTAATGGGTTACCAATGCCTACAATTATTATAAAGTCCTAAAGATTTACAGTGTAGACTGAGGGGAAAAGATAAATCAGATTTTTGCAGCCTGTGGCACCATAGATCTCTAAAGCCTTTTAAACTCAGCTGTTTACTGTAAGGGAGGGAAAACAAAGTAGTTTCTTGCCTTTTTTGTGCAACATTATTAATGTTCATATAATCAACGTTTATCTTAAAATAGCAACCATGATGCAAGAATGTTGAAAAAAATCACTAAAAGGGGCATTTTATTCCTTCTTCTAGCATTGCCGCTAAAGAAGCTCTAGAGAGAAACTTTGGGGAACAAAGTAAGCCTTCTTCTCAAGAGATTATGAGGCTGGCTGAGGGGCTCAACCTTGAGAAGGAAGTTGTGAGAGTTTGGTTTTGCAACCGAAGACAGAGGGAAAAAAGAGTGAAGACAAGTTTACACCAGAACACCTTTAGTTCTGTCATGAAGGAGCATCACGAGTGCCGGTAAAATTTCCTGTCTTAGCTGAGGATTTCTGGGCCTTTAAGATTTTTTTTTTTATAAAGTATTTTGTCAATCTGAAAAGCAGTGCGCCAGAAACATTTGTTTCCTTTACAGATTAGCCAATTTTAACTGTAATGCATCTTGGATGGACTCAATTTTAACATAGTTACTATATGTGTTTATGCAGGGGAGACTGTTTAGCTGTAAGCTAGTCAATTTGCATTAGCGGATTATTAATGTGTTACAAATTGCACAAATCCTACATTTCATACACCATGTCTTTCTTGCATTCACAATATACCCACTATTTAATATGGACTTTACCAAAAAGATCTGGAATGGAATGCTATGTGTTAAATTAAGTAGAGGTTACTTACTAGTACTACAGCTTAAGAAAGAATGTTGATACATAGCCACGCTTGTGTGATGCACCCCTCAGCAAGGAGCTTCACAAACCTTCTAGAAAAGCTACAGCCCCTCACAAGTGTCCCTTTGCAGGACCAAATATTTAGAGCTAAGGGATGAGGCAGTGAAATCAGCTGCTGGTCCTCCTGCTAAACTTCAGCTTGACTGAACTTTGAGGAAGGTGACCAGGTAATTGAGACTGCTATCTGTCTTAAAAAAAACCTGCTTAGTGGCAGTCTTTCTTCTTTAGCAATCTTTACATCCATGGTGTCTAACATGCTAGCCATTAGCCACATGTGATTATTTGGCCGGTTGAGTGTAGCTGGTTTCCTATAGCAGTAGCCACTGCTTCAGAACTGGTTGGACACCATGGCATAACACCTTCCCCCATGGGAGTCTATCTGGTCATACAACCACACGATTTTCAGAGGGGTAGCCATGTTAGTTTATGATTGAAAAAACAACAAATACAGGCAGTCCCCGAGTTACGCGGATCCGACTTTTGTCAGATCCGTACTTACGAACGGGGCTTTTCTCGCCCCCGAGGATGCGGGCGGCGGGACCGCCCAGATGCGCCGCAGTCCTGCCGCCTGCGTCCTCCGGGGCGAGAAAAGCTGCTCCGCGTCTCCCTGGTCTGCTGGGAGGGGGGCACCAGCAGACCAGGGAGACGCGCAGCAAAGCCGCGGAGGACCTGGGCGGCGGGACCGCGGCGCGTA